TGAGGGATCGGTAATGGTGAGGGATCGGTAATGGTGAGGGATCGGCCGTGGTGAGGGATCGGCCGTGGTGGTGTGGGATCGGCCGTGGTGAGGGACCGGCCGTGGTGAGGGACCGGCCGTGGCCGCGGCTCCTCGGCCGCCGATCCCCAGGTCGGGTCAGGCGCACGGTTCCACAGAAATTGCGGAACAATGACCTCGGGGTGGCGTTGGAGCCGTGTCGGGGCTGCCGCACGGGCTGTGCGGAGCACCCTGCTGGTGGAGGATGGAGCCCGCTCAGCTCCGCGGTGCCAGACGCTGAGAGGAGAGGCAGCGGGCCGAAGCTGGTGCACAGAAGTTCCACCTGAGCTGTACTGTGCAGTGCTGCACGAGGGAGCTGATTGTCCTGAGGGGTCGTGGGGTGTCTCTCGCTGGAGACGTTCGAGAGCCGTGTGGGTGCAGTCCTGTGCCTCGGGCTGACCCTGCCTGAGCACGGAGCTTGGACCGGGTGACCCACTGCGGTCCCTTCAACCCATCCTGTCATTCCCTGCACTCGCTCCACCTCTGCTTGTGCACACCTTTGCTTTCTTGGCAAGGCAGTGACTTCTCTGAGTACTCTAGAAATGTTGTCAAACAACATAGAAGAAAAGGGACGAAATTACCAAACTTCTGCGTTTTTCTCATTCAGGTATTACCTCCAGGCCCCACAAAACTACAGAAGCAGCAACCATGATGTACAAATATAACATGAAAAATAAAATTGTCCTTTCACTGAGTTCTGTATTCATGTTTCTTCTCATTGGAGGCTTTGGTGAATAAAAACTTAAGCTGAAGGAAGTACTAACTTGGATGTATCTATTTGGCATGGTGTCCATATGGTGGAGCAAATGCAGCCCCAAATACAGGAACAATAGGCATCTGCTCCTCGGTGTCAGGTGTGAGAAAGCACAAAGTGATGCTTTGGGTCTGAGCAGTCACCTCTGCAAACTGTGTCCTTCAAAAAGGACACAAACCATTGCCCTGCCAGAGTATCATCATTCTGCACAAGTCAGTGCCTCGGGGTACACGCAGAGAAGAAATGCAGTGTACCAGCCATGATCACCGAATCATTAAGGTTGGAAAAGACCGCTGGGATCACCAAGTCCAAGTGCTGACCTGATCTCACATCACTGCTGCAGGGGGAGCAGGCAGCTTGTACTGAACCTGGCCCTGGGACACGTAGTTACAGAAAACTGGAAGAACTGCATTTCGTTTGCTTTCTAATTCTCAGTGTTAGGAACATTTTTAACTCTGTGGGTCAATGCAGATGTGGATAAAGTTTTGCCTTTCGGGAAACACGCAAGGAGTTTGCGTGCTAAGATGTTTAGACACGTTGGCTCTTGGTGTTTGGTTCCACCTGCTGTCTCCTTTGGGAAGTTCCTTGTTTTATGGACCAGCTCTTGAACTTGGATCTCTCCTCTCGTGGTATGCACTGACTTTTGCTTCCACCTGCTGTGTAATTTGATAAAACTCCTTGTTTCATTGACCTGACAGCTGAGATTTGTACTTGTTAATAAAGTAGCTCTGCATTTTGACCCTATTTCAGATACTAGAGAAATCTCTGAAGCTTCAGAATTATTCAAACTGGGAGCTGTATTACCTAGTTAATTCTGCTCAGTGTAGACATGACACTGTTACACTTCATTGTGTTGATATTACGTTGTAGAGGAATAGATGTAGAAAAAAAGCAGAAATTTGGAGGGATATTTTACTTTTTTTTTTTTTTTCAACAGCAAGGAAAAAACCCCAAGACTCAAAAACAACCCCAACCCTGAATCTGACCTTGAATCAGACACTAAGACAGGGAAAAGAGGCTCTGTTTATGCCTAATATCCAAGAGAAATGATGCAAGAACAGTTCATTCTTAGATTAAGAAGGGCCAGGAAACATTGCCAAGATTGATAGAATCTCAAGTTATTTGCCATGCATGTGCTGGTACTGGAAGTTACAGAAGCACAACTTTTCAGATCTTTATAAAAAAAATCATATGCCTTAGAATGCATCTTAAGCAAAAAATAAGAACAGATGTTTAGAGATAAAAGGGTATGAATAAAATTATAACACATGGGTGGGAAATACCTAAATTCATTAACCTTTTGGTCTACATTTCCCTCTAGCAAGCCCACTTGGCAATTCCTTTAAACAGAACTGAGGTTCTAGTCAGGAGTTGGCCCAGCTCTAGTCAAACACCACCGGCATTAGCTGTGCTCCCACACAGGTTTCCTCTCCATTCTGTAGGCAACAACAGCTTTCTCCTTGCAATATTCTGCTTGCATCTCTGAGATGGGTTGATAGCCTCCAGCACAGTGTTCTAGTATAATGCTCTCTTCTTGTGAATTGAAGAAAACTCTGGAACTCAGACAGCTTTCATATCCTTGCAAGTCAGGATAGTTCAAACAGTTTTAATATACTCCTATTTGTATTTTTTAATAAGCAACATAGATATTTTTGCTGGACTTGCTTTTTTAATTAGTTTTTATTTCCATCTCCATCACATTTCTGTTTCTTTTTTTCAGTTGCATCTTCTGAGTGTCTAGCTATGCTTTCCATCCAGTAATGTGCAAGGAGAAAGGACTGTGGACTGTGAAGAAGACTACCAAGGCTATGTGCTGAAGGCTATCAAGATCCTGCCATTCTTGGAGATAAATGTGTAAACATCTGCAGCATAAAACAGCTCCAGATGGGACTTTTTACCAAATTTCAGAAAATGTGTCAGAGAGGGGTATTGGAAAGACAGACTGTTTATGCTGGGGAATTGCTTTCCTCAGAAATATCCTGTTGTAAACTTACAGCTAAAATCTTTCCCTCACTGGCTTTATCTTTCCCCCTTCCAAGACTATAAGTTTCAGTTCAATCATGTCAAGCTGGACTGACAGTCACTGTGACAAGAAAGCTTGCTCCATCAGTATGTACAGCAACCACACTAGGAAGTTTTGGAGGTGTATTTTAACTACAGATGAAAATCCAACTGTGAATTCTCAGTATTGGCTCCTTTTTTTTGAAAGGTAGCAAATGTCAAAACCAACCTGCACAAGCTGCAGATACTTCTGCAAGAGGCAAGGAAAAAAGAAAACACAAATCCACATGTGATTCTTGCAATGTAGGAGTCTAGTATCCCCAGGAAGCACACTTATTGACACTGAAAGAGTAAATTAAATCCCTGACTTCCTGAAAACAACAACTTGGATCTCCTTCCAGGTCTAATGAGCCAGAAGGATTTTAGATATCAGAAGTAACAGATGATGTGAAGGAAAATTGATGCATGCCCAGATCAGGTCAAAGCAGTAGCACTGTTAGAGGGATTAGGAAGTGTTATCTCAGCTCCATTGGTGTTGGATATGGAAATGCTATTCATGGCATGTACACGTGTTGTTCACAAGGACCTATTTTTATTTACACTGGAGACATTCACTTTCATTGTGGAACACATGAGCTGTCTTCACTCGTGTCACTGCATCCCTGAAGGAGGGTCTGTAACTTCTGTGCCAGCTCTGCAACAGAACAGGTCAGTCTGCTTCAATGGGGATTGGTAACCAACTTCAACATTAAGAGATTCAAAGGTTAGAAGGTGGGAGTTGTCAATAAACTCTGCATTTTCTCAGGTGTAACCTTGCAGTATTTTGGTTGCAGAAATGCAACAAGATGGATGGATTCTCACCTCAGTTTGTTTAGCTGAGATCGGTTCAGTTACTGAACTTGATTTAACACAAATGAAGACACTACATAATGATCCAGGAGAATAGTTTTCAACAGGCTAAGGAAGCACTTTGTTGATTTCCCATCCTGATGCATTTCTAGTTATACAATGGGAAAACCTTTCAGACCCTCAAAGTCACCCCACAGCCTGAACAATGTTACCTGAATCCTGTTGCTGTGAGGATGCTCTGAGCTCTCCAGGTGATGTGCTGAATGCTGGCTTAGGTCAAACTGAATGTTTTCCTGAGACATTCAGGAGCTGAGCCCCAAAAACTGTCACTACCATCACATGAAGCTGTCAGGGAAGGTTCAGGTTAGATACCAGGACAAGGTTGTTCACCCAGAGAGTGGCTGGGCACTAGAACAGGCTCTCCAAGGAAGTGGTTACAGGACCAAGCCTCTCTGAGCTCAGGGAGTGTTTGGACAATGCTCTCAGGCACATGATTGGGGTGTCTTGTGCGGGGCCAGGAGTTGGACCCGATGATCCTGATGGGTCCCTTCCAGCTCAGCATATTCTGTGATTCTATGGTCACACCGTGGCTGTGCCTTCACAGCTGAGTTGTTGCAGGTGTCTCAGACTGGAGTCTGTACGATTCCATGGACAGCAAACCAGCAGGAAGCCTTGCAGGCAGCAGGGACTTCCCAGGCCACAAAGGCTTGAGAAAGAGCCAAAACTCCTTCAGTGTCCAAGTGTTTTGTGCAGGGTGCTGTCCCAGGCCACGGGATCCGGGGGAAGGCAGCGCGGTGCCCAGCGGCTGAGCCGCTCTCCGGCGGGGGGTGTGTGTGTGTGTGTGTGTGCGTGTGTGCGTGTGTGCGTCTGTGCGTGTGTGTGCGTGTGTGTGCGGGTTTGTGTGTGTGTGCGTGTGTGTGCGTGCTTGTGTGTGTGCGTTTGTGTGCGTGTGTGTGCGTGTTTGTGTGTGTGTGCGTGTGTGTGCGTGCTTGTGTGTGTGCGTTTGTGTGCGTGTGTGTGCGTGTTTGTGTGTGTGTGCGTGTGTGTGCGTGCTTGTGTGTGTGCGTTTGTGTGCGTGTGTGTGCGTGTTTGTGTGTGTGTGTGTGTGTTTGTGTGTTTGCGTGTGCGTGTGCGTGTGTGTGTGCCCCCGCGGAGCGCGGAGGTGGGGCCGGTGCCGTGCCCGGTGCCCGGTGCTGTGCCCGTGCCCGTTGCCATGACCGGTGCCCGGTGCCATGCCCGTGCCCGGTGCCGTGCCCGTGCCCGGTGCCGTGCCCAGTGTCGTGCCCGTGCCCGGTGCCCGGTGCCGCGCTCGGTGCCCGGTTCCCGGTGCCCGCGGGGCGGGGCCGCCGGGGCGGGCGGAGCCCCGGGGGGCGGCGGCGCTGGGATAACCCCGGCGGCTGCGGCCGGCGGAGCTCGCCGCGGGACGCTCGTGCTTCCAATGCTGTATTCTCGGCTCCCTACGGCTGCGAGCGCAAGGCAGGCGGGCTGCATGGGCATCCTCATCCCGGACGTACAGACCTGCAGTCTTCCAGTGTCGGACCTCTGCGTTTTGTGCTCCAAATCAGGTTTTTAACCTATGTTAGGTAGCTGCTTGTTAATATGAGCTGGTCTTTGTTTTGTCTCTTAGATCGTTAGTAGAATTGCTGGAATTGGTGGCCGTCTCCCAGGTGTGAGGTTTTAGCAGATTCTCTGGGAGAATCCCTGTGATCTCAGAGCTTCTGTGCAGGAGTGACGTGAGAGAAGCAGCAGGGTCTTGTAAAGGGTCAGATCCATAAAGTGTCGTAGAATGAAAAGAGATTGTGTCATTTCTTTCATGATTATTTTGCTGGTACACTTAATTGCTTGATCTTAGCAAACAGCTGTAAGCAGGAATAAAGCCTTAATCACATAGCAACTTTGATGAATTTTCTGTGATAACTGCCCTTGTACAAGTCAGAGTGGCTTGTGTTAGTTAGGGCAAATGCTTTCACCCAGGTGATGAACTGCAGACAGACTAAGTGCAGAAAATATCTGAGAACCCCACCAAACCACCTGCAGTCTTCTTCATTTTCTAGTTTAACTCCTCTCTTGAAAATGCCATTCAAAGTGATTCTTTTCCCTCGTGCTGTCCTTTCACCCCATCCTGTGGAGAGCTGTCTGAGTGGACTTCTCTGCCTAGAGCTATGTACTGAGCAGAGTCCTCTGATGCACGTTTGGATGGGCTCTTACTCATTTCAGACCTGCTGCTGGAGAATTTGAGTTAGCTTAGTACACACACATTCTGATCCACCTGGGATTACAGGCACTGTGGATCTTTTGCACTTCATGCTGTCTGGTACCTGACAGAAACTGAAAGCAGTTACAGGTAACTTGAAGTGTACTGTTTGAAACCTTTAAAACAGAAAGGCAAGCTTGGTGGCCTTATCTTGTATTAACAGCTTCATGAATGTGAGTTTTCTATTTCTTTTTCTCTCACACAATATAATAGATGATAATTAGGACTCCAATACCTTAGTAAGATAGGAAATGCAAATATATATTTATCTTGCTGCTGTACAACAAATACAATGAAAGCTTAATCCAGCATGGCATAAATTTTTGCACTGCTTGCTCAATTGGTTGTTTCTAGTTTGGACCTCTAGCTCTATAATACATGGACCAGTACATTGCTAATGCTTCAGGCCACTTCCTGAAGAATATTGTACCAGAAAATTTATATTGATTTAGTGAAATTGCTCATCTCTTTCCAAAGTATGTCAGTAGCTGACTTATCATAAATAGATGACTTATCAAGATGAACCCACTACATAAAAGCAGCTACACTTCTCCAGACTGAGCTCCTATTTAGTCACAAGGAAATGCAGCCCTATCACACAGCAGTGTGAGGTTTGCAAGGATTCCACAGCTGCCCAGTCCAATGCAGAACTTTGGTCCGTGTCTGCAAAATTAAAACTCACTATAGTATAAGAAAGTGCAAAGCGCTTCTCACCTTGGAGTTGACCTGACTTGGCTCAAGTTTAGAATATCTTTAGATATTTAGGGGATTTATTTATATATATATATAAGTTTTTCTAATATGCAAACCCAAATTACTTGGATGTTATATGAACAAAAAATAAATCCCTCCATTTTTTTCAGATCACTGTGAGCTTTTCTATATAAGCTGTTTGCTTATGATTCTGTCAAAGATTTGATGGAAGTTTTCAGAAAATGAAATGTTACAGATTCCTGTGACCACAGAGATGGAGACATGCTTAATGCAGATTTGATGATTCAAAACTCTCTGTCCTTTGGAACCCACAGTACAGGATGTTTGCCTGTATTCAGACATTTGGGAAGTAGATCCCCTTTTAGACTTCTTTTTAGTTTTTCTGGGAGCAATTAAGTGCAGACAATTATCAAAAGTTAAATTTTATCACTTAACAAGCTTTCCTGGCACTGGTTTCTCTTTCAAAGTTAATATTTTTTCCACTTGTAATGGTTCTTAGTTTGTTGGTCAGTGAATTTACTTCAGACAAATGCACAGCTATGTTTTCTTTCTCCAGAAGATGATGTCTGGCAGTCAAAGAAGAAACAAGAAGTTGTACTTGGTCCAAAGGCTTGCTCAATACAGGCCCATTTATTTAAATTCTAAATACATTTATTTAGAAACCAGTGGGTACTTAGAATATTTCACAAGAAAGCAGTAGCTGCAAGTGCAAATACTGGAATCTTGCATAAGCATTAATAAAAGGGCTAAGATGTTGCTCAGTTTTGAACAGCTGTGAAAATGGGTACTCAGGGGACACAATAATTTGTGTGTGTGAGTCTGATACATTTAATACAAACAAACACATCTTTACTTGTTCCTGCTTAATATCTGCTAAAATCCTCTGCAACTTTGACCAGAATGTTTCCTGTGTCTGATACTGCTGAAGTGTGTTAGGCATTCATGCATAGGTATTTATGGATTTATATGAAGTCTCTCTATATATAAATGAAAAGGAAGTACACATGGTGTATATTAAACTGGGGAGCTGATTTTTTCTTTTTCCTGCTGAGGATTTTCAGTAATCCTTATGTTTGTGCTGTGGACAGTGTGCGTGGTGTGGTTGGTCTCAATATCTTTAGTTATGTAACATAAACATCAAGCTGGGCTGTAAGTCAAACAGGGGACAAAGCAGTGTGACTGCAGCCTCTGTGGCACATCAGTCTGCAAGCTGACTGCTGTGATCTGAAGAGCTGAATTTAGTGGAAAGGCTGTCATTGATCTGAATCACTCTGGATATGGCCCAAACTCAGGAATCAGTGGCTTGCTTTTATTGGAGTGGCACCAGCATCATGTTGAGTCATGTGTGCACAGGTACACAGACATTCTTTTAAAGTTTAAAAGGAGTGCCAATGCCACAAGCAGAGTGCCAATGCCACAAGCAGAGATGCCATTTGTATTTCATCATTTTCTTCCAAGTGAATTCAAACACATTGCATGAGATTTTGGTACTTGACACCGAGTTTAGTGGAAAGGGCAGTTCTCATCATTCCCTCAGATGAGTTTCTATGCCAGTTCTTCTAAGTTCAATCTATTTTGTAGTTTAAACATAAATAGATTTCTCTGCATTTGGAATGGTTTATCTCTGTACCTTCAGCTGACAGCTTCTCTGTGTAATGGGAAGGAGTGCTACATGTTAGAACTTGAAACCACTTCTTTTGTCAAGCAGCAGACACTCGCTGATGTTATTAACAAGGATTGTTTCAACTGCTGCTCATCCCTGACTCCTGCTGACTGTTGCAGTTCTCCCCCAAACTCTGTAAGATCTCATCAGGTCATAGCTCACACAGCCAAGTGATCATGCAAGGCTCTGAACAATATTCTGAGTAACCAAAACTGCAGCAAAACTGCCAAAATACACACTCAGTCACAAAGCTTGAAAGCAGGATCTTTAATGATTCAGAAACTCAAAATGAAGAGCACCAAATATTATTTGCAATATACCCATTTGTTTAAGCTGTCTCATAGTTTAGCTGCTTCAGGAATGCTGAATTTGGGGTGGCTGCACTATTCTAAGCTCTTAAAACTGCAGGAAGTAATGAGGATATTACTTCTTGAAACTGCTGCTTAAAAGCCTGTGGGGGGAAATGGAGCTTAGTGTGCATACTGATTTTACTTACAACTTTGACACCTCTTTGGGGCTAACCTCAGCAAAATGGCATGCCAAGGAATCACACAGCCCATCCTGTCATTTCACTGCCATTCTTTTCATCTGCTGTTCCACTCATTTTTCTTTCTGCTGAACATGCATTTCTTGGAATTAACTGATATTTGCCCATAAAAAAGGCTGCCATCATTCATAGGAGTCTGCTAAATATTATTGGTACAATTTGCAGCAAATCACATTATATTGCCTTGTGGTCAAGTGTGTCCTTTCTTTTCTCCCAGTTAATGCTTCATGAGACCATTTTTGTATACCACTAGGTTAAGTGGGAAGGGTATTTGCCAGCAAACAGAGAGTTAATGCTGCTGGATTTGGCTGGTACTTTGCCAGCCTTTGCTCTTTTGAATGCCAAGACATTTTTGGTGACTTTTCTTTTCTTTTTAAAAGATGTGTAGCTTAGTAGAGTTGAGCTGCAGCCCTTACCAGGCAATATGGGGATATTTATGTCTCCCAAACTGAGCTTTTCTCACAGTTCTTCACTCACTGCACATGGCTGCAGCCAGGTAACACAGATCTAAGGCTCTTCCTCACAATGCCAGGATGAATTTTATCCCATTGTTCAAGAAGCTATTTGTATTTTCCTAAGCTCTGGTAATGACAGGAGGGGGAATTTTGGAGGAGATGCATTCTCTGATCCTGTTGCCTCTCCAAGAGTGTCAGGATTTCTGAGCTCTCCTGAATTTACCCTGTTTTGTTTTTATATGATAATGATAATGATTTCATTATCTCAAGAGGAGGAAGTGAAAGGACAAGTGAAGAAAACAGGCTCTGTGGTTTGCTTGAAATGATCCAAGAGTTTCTCTCTAAATTTAAACTATAGACCCATAGTACAACTTCCCAGAAACCTGTTAGGAGCAGGGACTGTTTATGAATGGTGCTTGGATTTTCTTGCTTTTTCAATCTGTATGTTATGCTTGAGTCTGCCTTCAAATGATTTAACATGTCATAGGGAACTTCTGGATTTATTTAATTGACTCTCTAAATCTGAATTTAAAAAGGCAGAGATGTTAACACAGTGTTATAGAGATTGAGGCATAGAAAACCTCCTGTGCATTAACAAACTAAACTTTGCTGGGGAGGCCATTTCAGAATTGCCTTATGTACAACAGTAATGAAAGGTTTTGCAAAACCTTTTGTTCTTTGTTTGTAGATAGATTAAGAAACACCTTATTTACAGATGTATAAGCTTTAATTAAAAAAATAATTTTGTACTTTGAAAGAGACATAGCATGCAGCACATCAAAGTAAATTTCAAAACCACAATGCCACCTGTTTGTGGGCACTTAAGGGTTCAAGAGCTGTGCAATGAACAGAACATGGGAATGTTTATACACCTGTTGTTAACTACCAGAATGTACTTCTCTGAGAATTTTTTAATGCTTATTTATTTTTTA